AGGAAATATGGTTTGGTTTGGTTTGGAGCTCTATGATTTTTTTTTGCACACTTAGGCTAATCAGATCGGGATCTACAATTTAACGTGGATTCCAAACCGCTCACATTCACCGCCAGGATTCGAACCTGAAGCCTGCGGTACCAAAAGCGAAATCGCTAGCCAATTGGACAGTTTTGTACGTTGTGACTAATCCTCAGCGTTCTGCAGTGTGAGATGGGCATCCATGAGTAAACTACTCATGGATGGAAAGAAAGGGGGCAGCTTCTGTTGTGATGCCCCGTAGGTAGAAAGTCTGACTTGAATCCGTGATGATCCTACAATCATTTGAAACCGGAACCTACAGCTTAAAGTGAGTTCAAACCATTAAAAAGCCATCCATGGTACCACCGGGACTCAACATGGAACCTGTGACAGCTCTAGATACTCGGTCGACAATGCTCGATTTTCTTTTTTTATTTTGTAGGATTTTAATGTAGTTATTAGTTAAAATCTGAATATTTTAATTCTTCTGGTAAAATAATTTTGGAATTATAATTGTTGCTACTATTTTTATATATTATAAAAAATATCAAAATTGAATTCTGCATTAAATAAAAATTTAAGTTACAAAATCTTTCTTAAAATCCGTTTACGTGCAGGCTAATTTAAGTATTTCATTAAATCAAGCTATCTTTTCAAAATTCATTGATTCTTCTCATCAATTATGCATTTGAAATCAACAAAAGATTTTCAAAGTTTTAATAAAATGCACTGTACAGAAAAAAATAATGTTTACAAAGCGCAATAAAACGATCGTTTGCGTTAAGAACGAATTTTTTTCTTTTTTGAATAAATTATTAACTGAAAGCATGAAACACCTTCCTGGCACCCACCCCCTCTTCCGTCTTCTTACTAAGTCGTTTGGCGCTACATCGTTAGTCATTTGGCTTCTGGTCATTAATTTAAATTTATCTTGCAAAAAAGCTGAAAATATTATTTTAAATTAAAGGCGTGTTTTGAATGCGAAAGTGGGGGAGAAAAAATGTCCTTTTCAAAAAGGAAGAGAAATAAAAAATGTTTCTTAAGAATTAAATGTTTCCCATGTGCTTCGTTACTCAGAAGCGTAATTTGTACGACATGAAATGTGATGATAATTTTTCCCTTTTTTTTTGCTTTCGCTCGAACTATTACTAAAAAAATACTCGAAAAAATAAATTTCTTTTTAATTTTCAATTTACGATTTATATCAATTTTCATGACATGGAATTGTAAAATAGGATAATTAATTTATTTTAGATTGTGGAAAAAATAAAACCATGTTTTACATTTTTTAAAGAGTATGTTCGTCTTATTAAGAGATGAAAATTAAATAAAGGTTTACATTGCATCTCAAAGTACTATTTCAGTTCTACACTTATTTGCTACCGTTAGTTTCCTTTGCTACTGTTCAGCTAAGTACTGTTTGTTTTTGTTACTGTTCAGTTTCCTTTGTAATTTGTTTTTTTAAATTGCATTTAATATGAATGAAATACGAATAAGAAACAGCTCCTGAAATATAAAAAAATAATCATACATAACAGTATCAAATTTAGATTTAAAATAAATATCAGGCCACCACAGGACACATCCAAAATATTAATATACTCTGCTTTCCAAAAATTAAGACACATGGTTTGTTTTGTCTTCTGCTGCTATCATTTGTTGCATACTGTGGACTTGTTAGACCAGGACCTACAGTTTTACCATGGTTTTCGAACCACAAACACACATCTACTACAGAATCCTGCACAGAACGTAATCAAACCTGAAGCCTGTGGTACCACTAGCACTGCTACACTACACATACCACACCACATCACATCACTGTGTCTAGAGCTGAGTTGCCTTTACAGTTTGGGAATGATGTGCGTGAAAACAAAATCTGATTGGGCTCCGTGATGCTCTACGGTCATGAGACCAGGACCTACGGCTTAAAGTGGATTCGAACCACTACAAACATCCATGGCACCGCCGAGATTCCCATTGGAACCCGATACCTGTGGTACCGAGTGCCAGAGCCATAGCCACTCGGCCATCAGGCGCCTAGCCTGTGGTACCAAAGGTCAAATCGCTAGCCAATTGGCTATTAGGCCGTTAAGGTTACATGGAGAAATTCTTATGATATTTCTATTGGGTCTGAAAGCTGAGTGACTAGCACTCTGCTGTTGATGATATAGGTTTCACGTGTCCCTGTGGTGCCGCTGATGTTTGTAGTCGTTCGGAATTCACTTTAACCCGTCGGTCCTGATTTAACATGACCGTAGAACGTTGGGATTGGGACTGATCACCCTACCTTGTAAAAAAGAAACCATCACCTGTCTCGAAATCCGCCAGTCAGTAGACGGCATTGGCCCACAATTGGGTTGTTGCGCAAATGAAGAAGAAGTTTATTAAATATTATAAGTCGTGTTGTTAGTTGGTCCACCATATGCTGTAGTACAATGGAGCTAATATATATTATTGAACTTTAAAATAGGTGAATTTGAGTTGAAACAATAGTTCACATTTTCAGTTTAAAAAAAAAAAAAATATTCTGTCTTGAAAATATATAAAATGGAGACATAATAAAAAAAAAAAAAAAAACATAGTATCGAAGCTAATAATTGTGTGATAAGCTACAATAGGATGTATAACAGCAACATACAGACATATTCCATGTTCAGATGTTTAAAATTCAGCTGACAACGAAGCCTACTGCACTATTAAGGCAATTCAAGTCCCTAAATTTCAGGGGGGGGAGTAAATGAAGCAATATGTCTCTTTAGAACATCCCAAGCATGTTCGATGTTTAAGTGGTCTGGAGAACATCCGGACGAGAACATTAGTTAGAAAAATCACCAACGTAATGAATCACACAGTTTTAAAAAAAAAATTTTAAACACACGTGAAAAATATTCTAAAATATTTGACATATTTATTCGTATTGTGAATCGGTCTTTTATAGTTTTAGAATGAAATTGGTATTATAGCAAAAGATTACATTACTTAGTTAAACTTTGTTCTTAAATCATTAGAACATCTGAAACAACAAAGTAAACAAACAAAGTACTAGGTGCAATGCTATGCAGATTGCACCGCGGAAGAAAGCCGGTCAATATATTCTACTATTGTCTCAATTCATACAATGATATTGTGAATCCGTACCCTATGAAACCTGAATCCCTGTGAATCCTGAATCCTGTTATGGGTTTCATCTGTCAATCCGTACCCTCTTTACGTCCCCTCGAATGCAAATCTAAGAAACTTACTGAGTATTGATTTAATCAGAAATATAGTAATAGCATTGCTCGATTTATAGAAAGTATGGAATAGACAACTAGTATGCAGGAAAGCTGATTTTTGAGCCCGCTGGTTGAATTAGCTGAAATCAATGTTACCAAAAGCGGGAGATTCGATGACAACAAACACAGAATACGCACATTAAAGTTAGGCTGCCTGATGGGAGTTTCCGGGTTTTCACACACATATATAATGGGATGTGGCTCCTAAAATAATGTCATTGCTATTATGCATGTTGGCAATATTTGTTTCAATACGTCTTGTTTATTTCATACAAACATCAGTTTAAAATAACAGAAAAAAATAGTTAATAAATATCAAAAAAATAATATCCCCATATGTGGCAATCAAGTGTTAAAGGTAAATTATGAATGAAAGTAATTCATAAATTCTGAATCTAACATGTAAAATTTTATCATGACCAAGAATAAAATGACAAGTTTCAGTTTTGTAGGTCATTAACATACAATAAAGATAGTAATGATATGCAAAATGAAATATTTTTATCAATGATGTTGAGAGACAAAGCAGTATGGTGAATAATGCATTGGGTTTCAAACTCAGAGTCTAGTTTGAAACCCGACACCGTTCGAAGCATCAAAAAGCTACAATTTTTATACCAGTTATAAATTTGTAGGCCTGATTATTATTTCATTGGTGTTGAAAATTGGGCAATATTCTAGATTATCCAGAAGCCGCTCTTAATGACATTCCTTTTAAACGTGGTGGCACACTTTGAGTGCAATTCATCAGGCTTCCTTAATATACCCTTGGTAACGCTCAAATTGTTACATATCTACCACTCTAACAGCGATTAAAAACAGCTTCAAAATGACAATCGTATGAAAACAATTCTCATAGTTTGGTTTGTCGCTCTACGATCATTTATATTGATGGCTAAAAATACGGTAACAATACAAAAGTACGGCTAAACAGACCGGGACCTACAGTTTAAAGTGGATTTCGAACCCCTTTAAACAAAGTGGGATTTAGAAAACATCCGTGTAGTATTCGAACCTGAAGCCTGTGATACCAAATGCCAAAACACTAGCCAATTGGCCATCAGGCGCAACAATTCTCATGAGGAGTTGTTTCAATTTCTCATTAAAGGATATTATTGTAAACAATTAAAAAAAGTATTTCAGTTACATTAATTTCAATTAACAAAATAAAAACATTACATATACAATAAGCCTTTTTAAATTATTCCATTTATCAAACTTCTTTAAAAGAGGTCTTTATAATTCAAATCATCCTTTCTGCATTTTAGTAATCTTATCAATATCGAATATTATTTCAAAAATGTTTTGCATTTGCTTGAAAATGTATAAAATGATCCTTTTAAGATGCAAAACATTTTCTTTCAAATTCTCTGGAAAACGATCTGAAAAATAAGTTATAATGGAGCCGCTACATTCTTCAAGCTCTCCTTTAAAGAAATAAAAAATCATTTAATATAGTTTACAATATTTTTTACATGCTTTTCTTAGACTTGGTACAGTGGAATGCTAATTTTTCTGAGAGAAGTTATCGATTATTGCATTGCGTTGCATGCTTTTGCGTCGACAGCAATTTTGATCAGGTGTTTTTGACTCTTGTAAATAATGACGTTGTTAATTGATGATAACATCTTGCGAAGTTAATCGCTTCTTTAAAAAAATATCTAAATTTTCTCCCTTGCTATAAAACATGATGATAAACAACTCGGTTTTCTTTTTTTAGAGTTTATTATATTGGATCTTAGATGGAAGTTTTAAATAATTTATTCAAAAACCCATTCTTTTATGCCTGTGATGTTCTTAAATGCTTTGCTGTTTAATAAAATTAAATCGGCTACAAACAAGATTGGTGAAAGCAGATTTTTAAAATAAAATTAAAGCTTTTATTAAATATTTAGTGGTATCTGTTGGCGACTCGTTTTTAAGCGAAAGAGGTGACGCAACTGGTTGAAACCGGTATCTGTGAATGTGCATTGGTTCTGATTTATCAGGAATACTTGATATTAAAAAAAATATGATGTGAATATTTAATGAAATATTTTATACACTTTATATATTTTTTATAATTAATTTAAATACCCTCGTTTCAATATTAATAATTCATTGTTTCGTTTCATTCATTGTTTCGTGATTGGTATCATTTGCACATGTACGCATACTTCTTTTGCATAAAAAAATAAGAGAAGGAATTAAAATAAATAAAAAAAATTTAAAAGATTGCACATTTGAAAAAAATGTTTAACTAATGATTGCTATATTTTTACTGACATAAATTATTTAGACGACTATTGAAAATTAAATAATTTATTTTTAGTTTATATATATTTTAAACAAGTGTTTAAGTAATTTTGGGACATATGCAATTGTGAATGATAAATTAAATTGTGAATGGTACAGCGATTGTTTTTGTTTTCTTTTAAATTCATCTCAAAATAGGGGCCAAATCGCAAAAATAGGGGCCTGGTGGTGAACTTGGTGATTTTTTTGTGACGCCAATTGAGTTATAATTCGCCAAATGTGATAGCCCTGATTTTTTTGTTTAGTTTTAGTTGTAATTCATTTTACTTACAGTTACAACCCGTTACTTGGCGGACTTTGTCGAAAAGAAATTTTGACGCCAAATCCCAACGGCTCCTGTTCTGCTATTGCCTACGTCTAATATTGGATATACTTTTCTATTCGTTATAACTGCGCAGCAGTTTTCAATTATTTATTTTTTGTTTTAAAAAAGCGTAAAAAATGTATTTTTTTATAGATATCAAATGATATATAATTGAAATTTTCTCTCTCTCTCATTTTTCAGGTAGAGAATTATGGGTTATGGTAGTATCGCGGTATCCAAATGAAGAGCCTTTTTTGAAGCCGAATGTAAAATACGTAGCCAATATGCATGGAAATGAAGTAAGTGGTTTTTGTAAACAATTTTGTAAACAATTCTTTTTGCAGGTATTGATACTTATTTCAAACTAATTGAATTAGGGTAGAGATATATAGTTCATAAAACTCTTATTATATAATATCTAGACAATCATATCAAATTACGTCAAATATCTTACTTATCTATTAACGTATGACATAAATTAACATTATGTCAAATAAGAAATACATGAAGATGTTTTAAGAAATAAGAAATCATATCATAACTATCATATTAAGCAAGAAATACAATTTTAAGAGTCAATAAATTGTACACCGCAAATTAGTTGGTGTTACATATTTAATATATTTACTTGTTACCATTGCTAACATATTTACTGTTAACATGTTTACTCTTCTGTGTTCTGTTACGTTAAAACAGAACACAGAACCGTTGATGAAATATATTACAGTTACAATAAATGCTTAAAAAAAAAGATGCTACTGCGAAGAATTTAATTAAATGTCTCGCATTGGTATTAAAAAAAATATTCAAAGTCAGTATATACTCGTATATTGTATTGGGAATATATCTGTAATTAACAAAAAAGTAATGAATTTAAAACCAAATCAAATTTAAATTTAAATTCCTATATTGTGATTTTATATTAATTTATTAAAAGAAATAATATTGCTAAAGTATTAGTTGAATTAAACACCCAGGTAAATGATAATATTTTAATGATCGAACAATATTATTGTTTTCTGAATGACAGGCCTTTTGACATATGTCATTTTACATTTTTTTTTCTCTCTGAACCTAGAGCTATATAGCCCCTTACCAGTTAGAATGTGAAACAACAGTGGGTCTCGTACATACCATGAACAGCCCACCGACGGGTGCGGATGGGAGAA